CCCCAAAACCCCAAAACCCCAAAACCCCAAAACCCCAAAACCCCAAAACCCCACTGGCCAGAATACAAATTGACAATAGAAAAAATTAGAAATATTATAAAAACAACAATGGAAACTAATGAACAAAACACTTTGATAAAATCAGAAGATGGTTTGGTAGAACCACAGAACGATGATCCAGACCAGCATGAGAGCAATCAGATTTTACAACCCAGAAAGGGTCTACCAGTAGATGGCTCTACTGGAGGCTGTAAGTTTTATTTTGTTAAATTTTTCTGTAGGTGCAGCACATCTCTCCCAGAAAGAAGAAAACAAAGCATTCAGGCCAAGCCTAGAAATAAGGAGACAAGGAGATTTACATATTGAAAACGAAGATAGGCGAACTCAGCCCAATAAATTTGCTGGGTATGATGTAGCTAACACAGTTCCAGAAGTGGAAAGGAGAGATGAAATCATCCATAATTTGAAACTTGATGATCTAGGAGAGAAATCTACTTTTAGAGACTCTCTTCGAGTGTTTTGCCTAAATTTAAAATCTGTTCTCCCGATGGTCATAGCTATATTGATAATCTATTTTGTCTCTTTAGTTTATATCTTCACATACTGAGTTCCGCTGGTCTTTGAAGACTGGAATGACTGGAGCTATTTTTTTTATGAAGACAAGGATAAAATTCCTGGAGTAAGAAAACTCCCAAAAAGTATTCAATGAGTCATAGCAGGAGTTATGGTTTTCTTATTCTTGATCATAAATATTTCATTCTTTAGAGCAGCATTTACCTCTCCTGGAAGCCTCAAAAGAAGTGAGGAGTGGTCTCTACGAGAAGACTGCTTAGCAATGTTCATGCCTGAAGAGAGACTTCAAAAGGATGACATTCTCTCCCTAAACCCTTCAGATGTAAGTCATTCATATTAAAAATAGTTTCTGAAAGACCCAAAAGAAATCGTTCAGGCCAAAAACTCGACCAGATACTTAAAGAAGGCAAATAAACTGAAATATTTTGTAATGGAAAAACCATGGAACTTAGTCAAAAAGGACTTCTTCAATAGAACTCAGTCATGTATTATCAAAGCAATCGATTCAACTGATACTACATTTAAATTAAGGAAGAGACGTAACTTATAGCTTAATACTTTAGTGAGAGAGATCAGAGGGGAAAAAGGACCCTTTAGAGATCTCAAAGATCATGATGAAGACACTGATGATGCCCTTTCAGAAATAGAAGAGCAGAAAGATCAATTTGAAGATACCCCTTCTGAGAATGAGTCTGAGCCTTTCCTTGATAAATCAAAAGAGGATCCGAAAGAGCTTAATAGAAAAGAGGATAATATTTTTCCTATATTCAGGTCAACTTATGAAAAGAAGAGCCAAACTGAAGTTAGAGTATGCCTAAAATGATTAATAAGCAAGCCTGATCGGTGCCATCATTGCTCTGTATGAAACGCCTGTATCTTAGCAATGGATCATCATTGCCCATGGCTTAATAATTGAGTTGGACTTCGGAATTACAAGTACTTTTTCAACACAATTTTCTACAATATGATATCTGCAATTATCTTTTGAGGGACATATTGGGAAGTATTGGGAAAATTAATTGATGACCCTGATACTAACATACTGATCCTCTATATGTGCTGACTAGCCTTCATTTTAGGCATCATATTCGTAATAGTCTTAATAGGTTTTATAAGCCTTCACATAAGATTCTTATTCACAAACTACACAACTCTTGAATACTGAGAGAAAAAGAGAGGCAATATCTCAACTTGGCAGACATCACCCTACTATTCTCCAAACTGGAGATATAATCTCTCTTGCAAGCTTGGATTTGACTCTATTCTTTACTGGTTCATTCCTCTAGCACCTACTCTTCCTCGCGACCAAGGCTATCATTACAAAGTGTATAAAAATACAGGCAGAAGTAATACCTAAATTGCTGTAAAACAAATCTCTAAGGCTCAAAATTTTCAATTCTCAATAATCCTAGAGGGGTTTTGGGGTTTTGGGGTTTTGGGGTTTTGGGGG